CTTCTTCCCTTCGCCCCGGCTCCTTCCCTTCACCCGGCACCCTCCAATCCCCGACGCCTGGGCCCCCCCCCCCTCCCCCTCACCTCAGCCCTGTCCGCGGGTCTCATCCGCTGGCTCGTCCGGCCGCGGGCTCCCGGACGCGCTCGCTCCCGCAAGGCCTCTGGGTGCGCGCACGCTCCGGGCTCCGGCAGCGGAAGGGGCGGGGCCTGTGGGGCGTAACCTGAAAGGCGGGGCGGGGCGTAGTGAGCAGGACCGGCTGGGGTGGAGCCTGGGGCAGCACCTGAACAGCTCCGCACCGGTCCGGAACGTCCCGTCCACCGGCTTTCATCCTTTCCACCCTTTCACTGGCTGCTAAAACAAGAGCACAGCATGACCAGGCGCCGTGCTAACCGCTTGTGTGACAAAATTTCTCCTCGGAGACGCAACACATGGGGATCCCATGCCACCAAAGTCCAACGTGACGAACCCATGAGTGTGCCCGGGATTGCTTACAGGAGTATGGGTGAGGGGGTTTCTCACAAGGGCAGAAATGACTCAAAGGCTGCTGCATAGCCGGGCGGTGGTGGCGCACGCCTTTAATCCCAGCACTCGGGAGGCAGAGCCAGGCGGATCTCTGTGAGTTCGAGGCCAGCCTGAGCTACAGAGTGAGTTCCAGGAAAGGCACAAAGCTACACAGAGAAACCCTGTCTCGGAAAACCGAAGGGAAAAAAAAAAAAAAGGCTGCTGCATCACCAATGCCCACCCCAGCATGCGTGACAGCTCACACAGCTGGGAACCTGGAACACACTGCCTACAGGCAGCTCAACAGGTTGGAGAAGGTCTTTTCCAGGTGCCTCAGTTGGTCTAAACCTCTTCCAGGTGAGCTCGGCTGGTTTGTGCTTCTTCCAGGCAGCTGGGCTGCTCTCAAGAGTCTTTGCAGTTTTTTCCCTCTCAGAGTCCTCTTCGTGGCTCAGCTTCCTTCCATCTGAGGGGGATCTGGTCAATTTCAGGGGCTTCCTGAAGCTATCTTGAGTTGTTTACTTTCCTGCTTAAAGAACTACCTGCAGGAGGAGAGAACTCTTACAATACCACTACTCTATCCGGAAGGCTTTGTTGAGGCCAACAGAGAGTGGAGGAACTCTTGCAGTCTGGAAGGTTGGCCAAGTAAAACAACCACCCTAGCTGGAGAAGAATAAACATGGAAAACTTACTCTTCTTACTCATTATCATGGCCCCTTTTCTCTAACTACATCTTATTTAGAAATGTCATCTTCTCAAGTACCCCCCAGTTCTGCCCTCTGGTCCTGTGTAGACTACATAGACTATCCATGGTTATTTCAGTTTAATAGACGTCAGAGCAGTGAGCCATGCCAAGCTAATGCCCTTCCGTTGATGGAAAATAGTGCTTTCAAAATAAATCTAAATCTTTGTGCCCCTATTGGCTCCACAGATGTCCTTAGATCCTGTTAGAGTTAGAAACCAAGTATGAATTGATGAACTATGAAATGTTTGTATGAATGAAATAAACACTATGTCGCCGGGGCGTTGGTGGCACACGCCTTTAATCCCAGCACTGGGGAGGCAGAGGCAGGTGGATCTCTATGAGTTCGAGGCCGGCCTGGGCTACAGAGTGAGTTCCAGGAAAGGCACAAAGCTACACAGAGAAACCCTGTCTCGAAAAACCATAAAAAATAAAATAAACACTATGAAAACCAAGTATGAAGAATCATTCTGCGTGACCAGACAGGAGAGCATCAATACATTACTACTTAGGTCTGACTTTGTTTTAGAGCAGTGTTAGGGTCACTGCAAAATTTAACAAAGCATAGGTTTTCCATAAATTCCCTGCCCACCACCGCCACCACCACC